TCCAGCTTTTGACTTTTAAAGACTGTTAACTCACTTTTAGGGACAAGGGGGGAAAAAAAACTACTTCCATAAAATACAGCCTTTCCACGTGTGTCTTCACTCACCTTCCTAAATAAAAGATTAGCTGGAATATGAGAAATCTTCTAGGCCAGTGTACATATTCTGAATTGTGCACATTTCACTGCATTCGAGGTATAAATTAAATGAGCAAGGGAGGGGTCCTACAGCCGAGTAATCCTTTTGAAATTTAAAAGTAAGTAATGTGATTAATCTTTCCCTTTGGATATACTTCTAATGGAATCTGATGTATCTGAGCTTTTTTTTTCCTGAAATGCACGTGCAGGTTTTACAAGTTTTCACCTAATAAAATGTGTTATCTTCTCAATACGTAGTTTATTCTTCAACATCAACATCTGCTATAACCCAGGATAAAACAAAACTCGGTGTTAACATTAAAGTCCCATTCAATTAAACCAAAGTTCCTTGCCTCTTTAGGAGTTACCTTACATAATCTTGTGAACACACCAATAAGAAGTCTCTTCAAATATAAAGTTAAAAGGAAAAACGCCCTTCAGACAAACAAGCTAAAAGGTTACAATTTTTAAATAATGATAAACAAATACCCATTTCTAAATCCTAATGTTTATTTTGTATTTGCTTGCAACTTGTCCTTCTCTAATGCTTTTAAAAAGCACTTATAACCCCTGCAATGTTCTCTCTGAGTGAGGGCAGGGTAACTGCCTTCTCTCTTCCCGCTGAAAGGATAAGAACGTGAACAGTAGTGGAAGTGAAGTGTACCGCTCAAGGTCACGTGCCAATCAGTAGCACTGCTCAGTCTAGAACTCCATGGACCTCGATTCTAAGTTTGTCAATACATAATGCATATATTATTTTCCTCTCCTTTGGATCACTGACAAAGCACACAGTTAAGCATTTTCCTAATGTTAGAGGACAAGGATAGAAATCACAAGTCCTAAAAGTTATTTCTCTCTCTCTTTCCTCTTCTTTCCATGCAATTCTTCATCAGAAACACTGCTTCTTCAAAAGTTGGAGACATCACATACATCTGTAAAATGCTAATCAATATTCCAATGCCTTCACAACAGTGTTAAAAGAGATATGAGGTGCGGAAACAATGTCATGCTAAAATGTATCAAGTGAAAACAAACCACTTTGCATCTCACAGACCAGACCCTTAAGTGTAGTTTCTAAGTGCCCATAACTTAATGTTTTTAAGTTCCATCTGAGATTGGTTGCTTTAAAAATATATGAACAAAAAAGGGCAAGTTTACTAAATTGTTTTAGCCAATAAAAATGCAATATATTCAACTAAATTGGGTAACTGAACAAAGGACCCACACTGTAGTAGACGGTTCACATTTTTGAAAAGTTTTAACAATGTTATGAAACACTATACACTTCTGAGTAGATTAGTATTCAGATTTCTTTGCTGAGGATATCTCTTTCATGAAAGCTATTTCTTGCATTTTATAATTTCAGAGAGCACAGTAATTAAACTGCATTATATTGACAGGTAAAACAGAATGATTCTATAAATGAAGCAGCTGGAAGGTCCCATCAATTTTGCTTATTTAAAAAAATATATTCTCCCATTGTGTAATGCCTATTAAATGTGCAGTCAGGTTTAAAGTTTAAGTGTTTTACCTCCTAATTACATATACCTCCTTTATGATTCCTGTTACACTATTTACTACAGCTATTTCAAAAGTTAATTATTTATTAAGACTGCTTAAGAGAAAGAGTCTCACTCTTGAATGGAAAGAGAAATAAAGCTTTGGTCCTTAAGGAAATGATACTACTTTATTTTCACAGTGTTGACTTGAAAAATTTTCTTTATTATTATTAATTCTGAAGCCAATAACAACATCACATCATCATCTGGGACATCCAAATTAGAATCTGTATAATTCATGTTAATTGCAATGACATCCAACTTAGTGGCAGGAAAGTGTGGGAGTCAGAAAGTTTTACAATAAAAAATGGACATGTCAGATAACAAAGAAAGACATTCAATATGTACTTTTCAGACTATTTTAAGTTTAATTTTCAAAATGAGAAATGTTTCCTTAATAAAACATAAGTTTTACTATAATTCCCCTTATTTACTCTCAAGTTACAAAAATAATACTTAAGAATGTAAAAATTCAATTCAGCAATACTAATAATAGCATTCTCCACAGTATCACTTATAATGTCATTCAACTACTCATAAACAACTTGAGAATAACAGTATTTAATTCACTATACAGCATTCATTAAGCTTCTTTATATATCCAGCACTCTGCTAGGCACCAGAGATTAAATTATGAATGATACACTATTCTTACCCTCAAAGAGCTTTTTCTGTTTAGTAGAGGAGAAAATCACAGGTAGCAGCAAATGTGTGATAGGTACCATTATAAGAGAGTTTTACAGTCTGTTATACAGTCATACAGTCTGTTATGTATATTTAAATGAAAGAGCGATCAACTCATCTAATAACTAAATTTCATAAAGACTCATATAAACTCTGGTTTAAAAGTATAAATTCAAGGGGTGCCTGGGTGGCGCAGTCGGTTAAGCGTTCGACTTCAGCCAGGTCACGATCTCACGGTCCGTGAGTTCAAGCCCCGCGTCGGGGCTCTGGGCTGATGGCTCAGAGCCTGGAGCCTGCTTCCCATTCTGTGTCTCCCTCTCTCTCTGCCCCTCCCCCGTTCATGCTCTGTCTCTCTCTGTCCCAAAAATAAATAAACGTTGAAAAGAAAAAAAAAATAAAAAAAAAAAAAATAAAAGTATAAATTCAATTAAACATCATGCATATGGATAGGAATTCTGCATATTTCATGATGGCTATAATTCTCTATCGTTACCAAAATTTATTTCTTTTTAAATTTTTTTTTTAATGTTTATTTATTTTTGAGACACAGAGAGACAGACCATGAACGGGGGAGGGTCAGAGAGAGAGAGACACAGAATCTGAAACAGGCTCCAGGCTCTGAGCTGTCAGCACAGAGCCCAACGCGGGGCTCGAACTCACGGACCGCGAGATCATGCCCTGAGCCGAAGTCGGACGCTTAACCGACCAAGCCACCCAGGCGCCCCACCAAAATTTATTTCTAAAAAATATAGTCATCCATGGTTCAAGACAGACAAGAAACACTACACAGAATTAAATTCGAAAAGATGTACCAAACACTAGTCAAGATCTTTGAATATGTGAATTCATTCCGACCTCACAATAACCCTATGAAGCAAATGCTTCTATTATTCCCATTTTACAGATGAGGCATCTGAAGTTCACTTGACCCTGGTCACAAAGATAACAAGAGGAAATTCTGGGACCTGAACTAAAGACTGTGGTTCTGAAGGCCATACTCTCAATTTCTACACTAGACATCCTCACTGCAGATGGTGATGATGAGGGACAACACCCAACACTCTGTGACAGGCACTCTCTTATTTACCTTTACAGCAACCCTTTGAGGAAAAGTCATCCTTTCCATTTACAAAAGAAAACTGGCACAGACCGGGTTTGAAACTTGCCCAAGGTCAGACAGCCCTCAAGGGTAGGCGGCAAGATTCAAACGCAGGCAACACAGCTCCACTGTGCTATGAGGTCTCTCAGTGATTCAGTCTTAGATTCAAGAAAAGGGCCCCAAGAAGAAATTTATTAAACAATTCCAAAAGGCTTTGTATAAGTCTTCCTGAAGCACTTTGCAAGGTTTTGGGGCTTATGACAAGCACTTCCTTACGACAGCATTTACATTTGAGTCAACATTACTACTTTGGGTTGATCATAAACACATTTCTGCTCTTTAAAAAGAAATCTCTGTAGAAACTTGGCAGATTTCAGTACAGGAACAATCTATTCTTTAAAATTAAATTTAGTAACAACTTATTCTGGTTAGTCTGAAAGAGAAGGAGAGAATGAACTACTAAGAGGCCTTTCTTATACTTTAATATTTCAAAACATGTTTGGTTTGGCCTAATTTGAATCTTGTGGACAACTAGACCAGACCTTGATTCAAAAAAGGTACTACCATTTTTAAACAGGCTGAATTCTCAAAAGTGACCTCAGATGCCAATTCAGAGTAACTATTTTTCATAATTTTTCTCCTATCTCAAATTAAATATTAAAGATCCATAAGGCAAGATTCTCATAAAGCATACATGGGCAGCAGGTAGGTGTACCTTTGAACCACCCACAACCAAGAAACCAATTACATTTTACAAAATTCCATAGCATGACATTGTTTAAGAGCAATCAAGTATTCAAAAGACAGATATCAAAAGAAAAAAAAATCCATATTTATCCCACTGTGCCCAGTGCCTGAGAAATAAAAAAATTCTGTGTTGTATGCCTCGCTTGAATAGAGGGGAGAGAAAGATGAAGTGTCAAGCTGGATTTCCACCTTACCTCGCACTCCTCCAACAGGTTCAAAGACTTCATAGTCTTTCATACTGAAATCATATTTTTTTTTTCAAAAGGGAACCCATAAAACTATTTTAAAATAAAAATACTAAGCCAGGCCACTAGACAACCTGTCTTCCCTTGCTCTATCCCCACACATCCAAAACAAAAATACCTTTTGCTTTGCCTTCATTAAATAAAAGTTTAACTTTGATTTAGAGTAAAATGTACCCATTAGACGCTTTACACTTTTTGCAGGTTATAGAGTCTATTAGATCCCATCGCTGACTATCACCGCTCACTAAGCATCCTAAGACAGAAAACATGCCATTACCGCTCATTTTATAAGCGTTATAATGCCCCGATGGTGGAAGTCTGGCAATACCTAGAAATACAGCAAGGCTGGTGAATAAGGAGTCGAGGGGCGGGGGAAGAGAGAGCGAGGGAGGGAGGCAGTCGCCACCTCAAATCCACGCCGGACCAGGAACCTCCAGCCCACAACGTGATCCCTGCCCTCCTCAAAGTGGACCGGCTACATCTTTCCAGATCCCCCCCCCCGCAAAAAAAAAACACCCAACACGGTACTCACCCTTCTGCGAAGAAGTCGGCACCGGGTCCAGCTCCGAGTCGGGTCGGGGTGGCAGCGAGGGAGGGGACGTCTGGGCAGTGGGCGGGGGGTGTCGGTGCGTCACTCGAGTGCAGGACGGTGAGTTCGAGGGGTGGGAGCGGAGAGGAACAGGGCAATCAAGTCACGGCCGAAAAAGGAGGAGAAACGGGGGTGGGGGTGGAGAGCCCCTTCCCTAAAATAAACCCACCGTTTCCTGCGACCCCTTACCCCAGGGAGGGAAAATAAATCAGGGGAAATAATAGACTGACAAATTTCTAAAACGACGAGGAGCGAGGAACAGACTTTAATTTAAAGGGGGGAAATTGAGCGAGGGCTGGAGGGGAGATAGAGAGAAGTGGCTCTGGATCTATCCCATGCCTTTGCAGTCCCCAAGCAGAGGAGGCTGGCAGAGGGGAAGTTGCAGCGGCTCCTGAGGAGAGGGAGGAGGAGGAGGTGGAGGAGGAGGAGGAGGAGGAGGAGGAGGAGGAGGAGGTTACACCGTAACAAGTACAGACAGACAGCCATGGATCAGAGGGGCGCTGCGAGCAGGGGCGGCCGCGGCGGGGCGAGCGGCGGCGGCGGCGGCGGCGGCGGCAGCACCCCCTGCTCGGCTCGCTCGAGACATTTAATTGGATTGATGGGTTGTGCAGTGACTCACAGACTTTACAGAGTCGTACAGCAGTCCCCGCCCAGCTGGACAGGGGAGATGCGGCGGGGACGGGCGGGGAAAGGGGGCCGAAGAAGAGCCGGGAGGGGAGGAGGCGACTGAGAGGGCGAGGCGTTGGGGGGGCGGGGAGCGGAGCGGAGAAAGTGGCGAATGGCAAATCCCGCCGCTCCGACGGGCGTGGGCGTCGGCCAATCACGACGCGGCTCCATAGGCGGCTGGCTTCGCCCCTGGCCCAATGAGTCTTCTAAGGACACTGCCGCGAACGGGGCGGGGGAAGTGGAGTGGGGGGTGGGGAGAGGTGGGTGGACGTTGAAGTGGGGGGTGGAGGGAAAGATGAGGCGCCGGAGACCGGCGGAGTCACTCTGCCCTCCTAGCTCCAGAAGTGCGTCTTCCGCCAATCCGAAGGCTGCGTGGGGGTGATGGACGCAAGCGTGTGACCAATGAGGAGGAGAAGGTGCCGCCCCGAGCCGGAGGGGAAGGAGTGGGCGGGCCAACGCCTTCCCCTCCCTCCCGCTCGGTTCGGGTCAGTCACGCAAATAACAGTGTGAGGGCTGGGGCTGCGCGGGGGGGCGGCGGAGGGGCCGCGCTGCTGGCGGCGTGACAGCGAAAGGGACTGGCTGTGCTGCCGACTCCGCACCGGCAGGAGGAGGCGGCGGCGGAGGCTGGCTCCTTACTCAGCTTGCAGGCTGCTGCTGCTCATCTCCTCTGCCTTGTGCTGCCGGAGAGCCCCTGAGGTCGAACTCCACTCCCGAGGGGCAACCAGATGTGGAGTGAATCGGATCAAAACTTTGCTCCACATCCCTTGCAGTGCCCACTCTGAAAGACAGCTCCTTGCGACGTCCTGTGGGGCTGGGATCTGGGATCTGAGGAAGCTGGAAGCCAGAGACCCGAGGCTTGGCAAAGGCATGAGCGAGCCTCTTTGCTCGCCTGTTTTCTGGGGAAGTCAGGGTAGGGTGTGGACAGGTTGAAACAGCTCCCGAATACATACCATTTCTTTACTGATCTTCTGGAAAAGGCACTTCTTAACCTGGCAGGAGCGAAACTGTATGGGCTCTGCTTTTTAAGTATGTGTCTATGCCTTACCTTCCCTCCCGCACTACTCTTTCTCCCACTTCTCTGCCCACCCTCCTCACCTGGTACCCTGATGGCAATGCTGGGAAGCTCTCACTGCTGGATCTTAACGCTGCTCATTCTCCGGAGCTATGGCTTTTTCTCAAATTTCTTGCCTAGTGTGCAATAATCATTATACGGACCTTAACAGTTTCTACGCACTTTTACTTGGAAGTAACTTCAATTACCGGTAAACCTGAATAGAGATGCTCACAAAAGCAAAACATTGGCAAAAATCCACCTTTCCCGCAAGGTGCATTTCTGTTCATTATTTGAAATGTACGGCAATTGCTTCCCATCAAGAAACCAAGGAAAGGCAAATTATATATTGCATTCCTACAAAAATATTTTCAAATCCGCTTAGAATACCCCATATCCATTTTTTCATAGACAAGTAAACTAGAGAGACCTAAGGGTTGATTTAGGGTCTTCAAGCGAGAAAGGTGGTTGTTGCTGTTTTTCATAATTATAAGATTAAAGCCTACAGCGGTCTGAAATTCAGAGGACAGATAATACGTGAACACAAAGGCTTACTCTAGCCGTGTTGCGGCTTTCTTTTGATTACTGTCATTTTAAGGTACTGATCCTTCCCCTGAGCCCTAGTTGTGATACTCAGCCTGACACGTCTTCTCTCTTCTCAGATTTTAGTCCTACTCCATGATTTCAGCCTGTAGACCTGAGTCCTGGTGAAAGTGTTATCTTACATACTGTGGAGGGTACTAATAACACAGAAGAAGATTTTGAGTCTAGACCTACACTAGGATCTTCCAGAGGATTCCAAATACCCAGGCTTAGCATCCTGTGGTGGAAGTTGCCCTCTTGTCAGTTGTTATTGGCATGGCTTCAATGTCTAACGTGTCATTTTCTAATTCTGTGCTCTCTCAATTCCAGGATTTCTTAAATGATTGTCTAAGGCCCACCCAGATTACTGGGTCTGCACTCAGATCTATTGAATGATCATTTCTGTAGGTAGGACCTGGACATCTGCTATTTAAACAAATACCCCAGGTGACTTAAATAAATATTAAAATATCAAAATAAACATTTGATTTGAGAACCCCTATGTATTCCTTCCTTTTGAAAATTAGAGAACTCGTATTTATTATTTTCCCCTTATTTTCCTTTTTCACACATATCTATTTCCTTTCTCCTATATATTTCCTAGTTCTTATTTTTATGATGACTTCCTTTTCTAAATCTCTTGTACACAGGTCTGTGTTATACTGGCAGCGTGATCCCTAAAAAGGAGGTTGAAGCTGGCAAATTGTCTTTCATAAATATCATAAGCATACCTTATAACACTTAAAAGTATAGGGAAGTCAAATAATTTTATAACCTTAAAAATATCACTGTAATCGATCTTGTGTATGAACCTACAGTATGTGTGAAACTTACTAGTTTATGGTTTCAAAGTACACAGAGATAGAATTTTTCATATTTACGGGGTCACATTTCAAAATTCAAATTTCGCCATACAAAAAATATTTTTATGTTGTTACCATAATTTTTCTTCTAACCAGTGGAGTGAAACTAATGACGTACCAACAACTTACAATTGTTGTGATAATTACAACAAAAAAGTACCGTATGAGATTTTTGTTGCCTCAAGGAGCTTATAATCTAATTAAGAGGCTCAAAAGTACACACAGGCAACATTTAAATAGGAACCTGAGGAAAAGTCTAGGAAGACTTCAAATGTGTTTGTCACAGATAAACAGGACTGAGTTCATTTTTATCTAGTTTTCCTTTTGCTTACTTATCTGTACTTTTCAATCTGTTATGAGTCACATGTATAATTTTTTAAATCTAAAATCAGAAAGTATCCAAGAAATATGTGATTACAATATAGATCTCTTTTACTCTTACTTATTTATATGATTGTAGCTGATCTCAATTAAATTATAAGCTCTTTTTTAGTTAGTTTGAATATATATTACCCACATGGGTCAGGAAGAAAAGCATATCCTTTATGTTTTTGGATAAAGGATAGAGAATTCAAACCAGGCCTCACAGAATTCGCACAGATAAACACTAGACAAACATGAGCTCACAATCCAAATTACAAAACAAATGAAGAAAAAAGCTATCATGAGCAAAAGGAAGCAAAAGCAGAAAAAAGGAAACTAGCAGAATTAGATTCTAAATCTAATGCTCAATTTAATTCTCAATTTAATTCTAAATTTAAATTAATTTGAATCTAGATTCTAAATTCTAATTCTAAAAAGGATAGTTTATGAATAATATAGACCCATTTCACTTATCAACATAAGCACAAAAATTCTAAATAAAATATTAGCTAACCAAATCCAACATGCCTACTTCTGTGAACTAAGAGAAACCTTGAGTCTCATTTTTCTATCTTTAGCTTAGATATCTATCTAGCTACCTATCTAGTCATCTACATGAAGAATAATAAATCAAGTAGAGTTTATTCCAGAAACTCAAGCATGATTTAACATCAGAAAGCCTACTGGTAATTCATCTCAAAAAGACTCAGAGAGAAAAAGCGTTTGAGAAAGTGTATCGCTTATTATTAATAAGAACTTCTAGAAAATTAGGAGTAGGAAGAAATTAACTTTATGAAGAACCAAAATGTACAGAAAACTCTTACTAATAGATTTACTTAAAACACATTCCATTTAAGTGTGGGATCAAGACAAAGTTGCCACTGCTATTTAACCTGATACTGAAAATCCTGGTTAACAGGGTAAGATTTGTAAAAGGAAGAAGAAATTAAATAGAGAAATCCAAAGGAAAGAGATAAAACTGGGATTGCTTGTAGTAACTTGACCAACCATATAAAACACCAAACAAAAACTAGCTATTAGAAGTAATCAGAGAGGGGTCTCTGAGTGGCTCAGTAGGTTAAGTGTCTGACTCTTGATTTTGGCTCAGATCATGATCTCATAGTTCGTGAGTTTGAGCCACACTGGGTTCTGTGCTAACAGTGCAGAGCCTGCTTGGGATTCTGTCTCTCTCTGTCTCTCTCTCTCTGTCTCTCTCTCTCTCTCTCTCTGCCACTCTTCCATGCACATGCTATCTCTCTCTCTCTCTCTCTCTCTCTCTCAAAATAAACTTTTTTTTCATGTTTATTTATTTTTGAGAGAAAGAGGGAGCACGAGTGGGGGGAGGGGCAGAGAGAGAGGGGGACACAGAATCTGAAGCAGGCTCCTGGCTCTGAGCTGTCAGCACAGAGCCTGATGCGAGGCTTGAACCCATGAACCACAACATCGTGACCTGAGCCGAAGTCGGATGCTTAACCGACTGAGCCACCCAGGCTCTCCAATAAATAAACATTTTTTTTAAAAAGGGAATAATCTGAGAAATCAGCGAAGTGAAGATACACTTTTCTCCCTTTCTTCCACAGCACTATGCTTTGTTTAGATGGCACATAGCCAGTCAGAACAAACACAGCATTGGGCAGCATCTCTTATGCTAAGTATTCCCACGTTCCAGGCAATAGGTTAAAAGTGGAATGGTGTATAAGTCCTAAGAGGGAGAGGGTATGCCTCATCCTTTTTTCTGTCATCTGAAATGAAGACATAATGGCTGGAGCTTCAGCAGTTATCTTAGACCATGAGCTGACCTTGGGTATGGAAGACACACACAGTGGAGCAATAAGACAGAAGGCATCTGCTATACCCGCACTAGCCTTAAAGTATCTACCTCCAGTCTTCTTGAAATTCCTGAATCAACCTCTTATTCATGCTACTGTTATCTTAGATTGTGTGTGTGTGTGTGTGTGTGTGTGTGTGTGTGTGTTGTGATGTACTTATAGCCAAACCCAATCCTAACTGATACAAGATCCCCAAATACCAACGCAATTCATGAAAACCAGAAGTATTTCTACACACCAGTACCAACAAACTAGAAAGGAAGATACTATTTACAATAGTAAAATCTCTAGCAATTAACCTAAGAAAACGCACAAAGCCTTTATGGAAAAAAAAAATGTTAACTCTGTTGATAGACTTCAAAGAAGACCTAAATAGGGTTA